GACTCAGGCTGAGAAGCGCTGCTTGGGGGGCTGGGGGAAATTGACTGTGCTGCAGAGGATCAGGGCTCACAGAAGTAGCTTGTACCAATGGTAAAGGGGAGTCTGTCAGTAGGCGTTGATGCTCCCCTACTTTTAGGAACTTGGATCTCGCTTGTCAGTTTAATTTCTCACTGCCCGGAAGTGCAGGCTATCCATCCTAGGGGAACTTCTCCAGTAGGTGCTGAGATCTTCCTGTGCCTATTATCTGGCAGCCATATGCCCCCACCCCCACCCCACCCCAGTCTCCTCCCACTTGCTATCTTAATTGACTCTGAGTCAACTCCAAAATCTTTTCCTTGTGGTATGAAAACCTTTTCTTAATTTTTTTACGTATCAGTAGTCTCATCCAATATCTGTCCTTTTGGGATTGACTCTTCACTCAGCCTGATGTCCTCCAAATCCATCCGTGTCGAGTGATCTGTAGTATTCCAATGTATGACCAATGCTTATTCATCCATCCCCTACTGCTGGGTTGTTTCCACCATCTTTTTGCTTTTGTGAATCGTGCTTTGATGAATATGGATGTGCATCTATCTGTGCTGTGTTCCTCACTTCTGTAGGGTAAATACCTAGTAGCCTGAATGCTGGGTCATATGCTATTTCTGTTCCCAATGTGCCAGGCACGTTCCACAGGGTTCTATAGTGGTTTTTTTTTGTTTTTTTTTTCTTTTTTCTTTTTTAACATTTTATTAGGGGCTCATACAACTGTTATCCCAATCCATACACACATCAATTGTGTAAAGCGCATTTGTACATCGTTTCTCGGTTCTATAGTTTTACAGTCCCGCCTGCAGTGTATGAGGATCCAATCGCTCTACAATCGCTTTACAGCTGTTGGTGTTTTCTGCTTTTTTGAACTTTGCTATCAATTCTAGGGTAAAGTGGTCTTGTGCTTTGATTTGCATCTCTAGCTAGTGGCCATGATCACTACTTCATACTGACCACCCGAACGTCTTCCTTGGTACACTGTCTGTTCATGTCCTCTGCACAATTTTTAATTGGGTTATCAAATTTTTCTTGTTGAGTGTTGAAGTTTTCAACAGATTTGAGGGATTAGGCCCTTGTCTGATATGTCATTACAAAAACAACAACAAAAAAAGATTTTTTTCCCCTCCAGTCGGTGGGAGAAGTCAATGATTTTATCTAGGGTTACACAGATGGCTCAGATTAGGACCCAACTCTCCTGAGACCTCATCCAGATCACGTTCCCCCATGCCAACCTGCCTTCCAGGATTCTATGTATCTGGGCATGGAGGGCTCTACGTGGCCATGAGATTTCTATTTCAGCAAGGGGGAGGGGATGAGAGGATGCACTCTCTTCCCCTGAATTATTGAAGCATTAGCTACTCACAGTGATTCAATTATCTGGAATGAACATTCAACATTACATTACAAACAGTTAGATGACAAATCTGCTTAAGATTGCTTCTAGCAATCATTATCTCAATTTAATGTTAGACAAATGTGATCATTCAGTACCAGGAGACCACAATGTCACAGGTCACTGTCAATTTTCAAGTAGATTATATTTTAGAGGAAGGGAAATGATAAACTTGAATGGGGGAGGAATGTTAATTACACTGAAACCATTCATTGTACAAATAGAAGTGAAATAATGATGAGACAATATGTACCACTTATCAGTTAAGGGGGCTGTGGGTTGTGTTGGGCTGCTAACTGCAAGGTGGTTCAAAACCACCAGCCACTCGGAGGGAGAATGATGAGGCTGATTCCATAAATATTCACAGCCTGGGAAACCCTGTATCAAGTTGGCATGAGTTGGAATTGATTCGATGCAGAGGGTTTGGCTTATTTATCATTTAATAAAAATCCACGAGAAACAAGATAATATCTGCAGTGAACTCCTAGAACCCCTGTAATAGTCAGTTTTGCTTTGGCAATAAAGAGCCCTAAAATCTCAGTGGCTTATACAACAAATGTTTATTTTCATGTTGTATATACTGTCTTGTGTCTTTTCACTCTGGAACTTAGCCTGAAGAAGCAGCACTATGGGTACATGTCATTCTTGTCATTCAGAGGAAGAGCAGATATCTGGTATGCATTTCACATCCTCTAGTTCTGGTTGGCAAAAACCATCACTGGACCCAGTCAAATATCAGTAGTGGAGTTAAGAATGGGGGTAATGTACCTGTCTAGGATGTATAATCTTTATACCAAAAAAGGGAGGGTAACAAAACAATTGAGGACAACAAAATCTCAATCTGAAAGATAGATATTAATAACCTCTTCGTCCCGCCTGACATTTTCAGAGATTCTTAACTTTCATAAGCTCCTTCCAGAAGTTAGAAATATCCCTTCCAGTTGGGCTTATTATAGGGAAGGAGTTGGTAAAACAGAAGCAAGGGTGTGAAGGAAATATTCTCAGAAGGGATCAGTCCTGGAGAAAGACATCACGCCTGGCAGAGTGTCAGCAACGAAGAGGACTGACACAGAAGCTACAACAATGGGTTCAAGCACAGCGGGGATTGTGAGGGTGGGACAGGACAGGGGCAGTGCTTCATTCTGTTGTGCAGACAGCCACTCTGTGTCAGCACTCACTTGCCTGCATCTAGCGACAACAAAGAGTATGTCTGAACAGTGAGGATGGGGGCAGTTCCAACAATGGAGAGGTTATGTGCAGAGACTCGAACCGGTGATTTATGAAATGAGCCTCTATTAACTCTCATGACCCCCACTGCTGCCAATAATTATCTATTGCTGTCAAGTTGATTCTGACTCACAGCAGCCCTGCAGGACAGAGGAGAACCGCTCGTTGGGTTTAGACAGACTCGTTCTCCTGCAGAGGGGCTCATAGCTTTGAACCATTGAACTGGTGGTAATCAGCCCAAAGCCTAACCCACAGCTGCCAATAAGAATGTGTGCTGATTAAACCTAAGGAGCCCCTGGGAAGTTTCAGGTTTATCACTCAACTGCTAACTGAAAGTTAGAGGTTTGAAGCAGTGGTTCTCAACCTTCCTGATGCCATGACCCTTTAATACAGTTCCTCATGTTGTGGTGACCCCCCAACCATAAAATTATTTTCGTTGCTACTTCATAACTAATTTTGCTGTTATGAATCGGGCGACCCCTGTGAAAGGGTCGTTTCACCCAAAGGGGTCGTGACCCACAGGTTGAGAACCACTGGGTTAGAGTCTGTGGGAGAAAGGCCTGGAGCTACTTCTCACCAACCCCCTACTGAGAACCCCATAGAGCACAGTTCTACACTGACACACGTGGGGTTGGCCAAGTCAGGATCGGCTGGCCAGCAATGGGAAAAATTAAATCCATGTGAATAAAGGAATTTTAGAAACTCACTTTTATATTAATCTATAACATACAATACCATATTTTAAGAGAGAGAGAACAGCGGTGCAAATAAAGGTTCAAGACAAGTCTCCATCCCCCTAGCCTGTGGGTAGTCAAACTGCAGCTCACAGCAACACGGCGCTCTTTTGGGAGGTACATGTGGCTCAAAAGTAAAATGGAAAAATTTTAAGGATATTATTCAGATAAGGGTGATTTGTTTGTATATGTATATATTTATGGCTCTTGAATAATTTTTAAATTATGGTAAGGGGCAGAAATGCTCTTCCATGTCAAAAGTTTGCCGACTCCTGGGCTAGGAGAAGATGGCTGTCCTACGACTCCTGTACAAAGCATCTGTAACTGCCAGGGCTTCAATTCGATGTTGGGAGAGGAGGACTCCACGCGAGGCCACAACGCCTGGCATGGGGGGCTGGAGAGACCCGGGAAATGTGTGCATCCAGGTGGGAACCTCTAACAGGCACTTAGACATGCAGATCTCAACCCTACTTCCCACCAGGTGCTGGTGTTTCAGCTAATGAGATAAAAATAACCCTACATGTGAGAATGCTCTTTGGTGTGAGAAAGCGCCACTTGCACGTCGCCTAATTTAAGATTTTATTCTAGGGTCACTTCCACCCACACACAAGTCATTTCACTTTTTTAAATTATAAAAGAAAACCTTTCTCAGTATAAGCTTCATGGGGTTCAAGGCACTTTGGTAAGCGACATCCCCAAAGAATCGAGGTTCAACTTGGCATCCATTGAATTTAACCGTGTCAGTGCCGTTCTCTCCAGCATTAACGGAAGACAAACGGGTACTCTAGTCGTTTTTTCCCTACCCAACTCAAACGGTGTTTCCGGGTCTTAGCATCATCATCAGGGTTACTGAGGGTTTACCGAGCGGATAGGCAGTTTTCCATTCATTTGTCTCATACATTTTGTCTCTACTCATCCCTGGCAATCCCCTCAGTGCCTGTCCCACTTCCTCCAAGTCATTATTTTTAAATGCTGTTAATACTGAACCAGCCAGTAAGATTTGTTAAGAAGGGGGGGGAAAAATCACCTGGGTCAATTGAAAAAAAAAAAAAGAGGAAGCAAGCAGAGAGCGAGGGAAAGGATCCAGGGACCTGGAATTCACCACGGGGTGGGGGCTCTTTCGGAGACGTCGGGGACCGGCGGGCTGGGAAGCCTTGGCGAGGGGTCGTGGGCTCTCAGGCCTGACTGTGAGGGGACAGCGCCCCGGAATGGCAGCAAGACAGGGGGCAGTCGGTCTGGGGCCCACAGCAGCTCACCTCGCCCCGAGCCGACCAGGTCGCCCTGTCCCCTTCCCCCGGGAGGAGACCCTTCCGCCTAGACAAAGGCTCCAGCGGCGACACGCCGGCGGGAGTGCGCGTGCGCCGCGCCGCGCCGCGCGCGTGCGCGTGGCGGTCAGTGCGGCGGCCGGAGGCTGGAAGGAGGAACGGTCGCGGTGGAACAGCGCCCAAGGATTGAACCAGGAGCCGGCGGCGGGCGGGGGACCCGAGGGAGGGCTCTGGCGCGCGCCCTCTAGTGGCCGGAGGAAAAGGTGCCCAGGGAAACTCGCGCCCCCGCCGCTCGCGCCTGCGCTGCCGGTCGGCCTCGGTAGCGCGCCCCCTCTCTGGCGCGCGCTCGCTCGCTCGCAGTCACCGCCACCCACTAGCTCCGACGCCAGCAGCGGTGCTGCCACCACTACAGCCACCACCTCCTCCGCGTCCTCCTCGGTCCTCTTCTGCTCTCCTCTATCTTCGGCCTCCGTCGCCCCGCAGGTAAGCGCCAAGGCTCCAAAATGGGCCTGCCCCGCGGCATCACCACGCCGCCACCCCTCGCCCTCAGCTGCAGGAATGGGCTCCACGCACCGGGCACCGGCGGGAGACCGCGACGGAGCCCCTCCCTGTGCGCGCTGCGCTCCGGAGCTGCAGCGAGGCTCGACTTGGGAAGGGACGCGTGCAAGGGATGTACGCGCGCGTGTGAGAGCGTGTTTCGGTGTGTGCTGAGAGCGAGGGGTGTCCGCACGCCCGGCTGCACGCGGACTCCGAGTCGAGGCTGTGCCCGTAGGGTGGGGCGCTGATGGCAGTGACCTGGGGGAGGGGGCTGCTCTGCGCTCTCGGTCGCCACCTTTTGCCGCAATGGGCGTGTGTCTCTGTATGTCGCGGGAGGGGGGGGGGGAAGGAGAGTCCAAATGACGACCCCTGAAACCGAACCTGTAATCTGATTTCCCTGCTCCTGTTTGCCATCCACCCGAAGAACGTGGTTCTAGAAAAAGATGACTCCTTGCTTGCCCCTCCCTGCGCCTCCCTGGCAGCGTTCGCTCCGCTGGGGCAGTCGCTGCCCCTGATTTATGGCGGAGGGCAGCCCCCTCCCATTTTCCTCCTTCAGAAACCGCAGGAGACATTTGGGGGCTGGGAGTGGAAGATACGAGATGGGGAGGGGTCCGGGCGCTGTCACTTTAGCTGCCCTTCCCCCCTGCGCGCGCCTGGTACCGAGACCGGAGCGGCGCCATGCCGGGGAGAAGGTAGTGTGCGGATTCCAGTGTGCAGGCTGGGAAAGGCCGGGGTCAGCTGGCCTTGCGACTGGACGCACTCGGCGGCAGCCAGTGCCTGCTCCGGGCGCACAGAGCCGCAGCCGCTCACCGCCAGGCTCCGCGGCTGCAGGTGCATTTCGGGGCGGGCCCCTTGCTCCGCGCTCCGCGCCGGGCGCCGGGCGTGTGCGCTCCCTGCCGGAGGCGCGGGGCTGGCGCGTGGGGTTCGCCCCTCACTGCGGCAGTGGGTGTGGACCCGGGTGGGCGAGGAGGGGGGGGTTGTGCCTCCCCCCACCCCCACCCCCTCCTTTTTCCCCTCCGAAGGCGAGGTGCCATCTTTTTGTCATCTGTCACGTCTTTACGGTACCATGCCAGGCCGGATGGCTGGCCCTCGGAGAAGCAGGGCGGGGACTATTTAAAGGGGGGCAGGCGATCGACGCAGAAATCTCGGCGTTTTGCGCTCGCGCGTGAGCCCTGGGGGCGATCATTCAGGATCTTTCTTGGGGGCTCGCTGCTTTGTTTGTAGGATTTACGTGATCTGCGTTCAAAAAAATCAGACCTGTTGTTTTTTTTTTGGGGGGGGGGGCTTTTAGGAAGGCTTTTCGCCAAGCCCTCAGCCTCTCCCTTTTTTTTACCCCTCATTTTTGAGCCCTTTGTTGGATCGAGGAACAGGAGCACGAAACGAGCATGTCCCCACGTGGCCTCCTCCAGAGACCAGCAGCGCTCCTGGAGCCCTGAAGGGGTGGAATTCGAGCTATCAGTGCGTTCTGCCCCAGGCCACAGAGGGGCCACGCCCCCCAATCTCCGAGCGTAGTGGGGCCCACGCCCCAGAAGGCTGCACAGCGAGGGGCGCCGCAAGGATGGGGAGCTGGCAGGCGGGGCCTGTCTCCACTTTACGCCCTGTTGCTTCGCCAGGCGGGCGCGGATATGGAGGGAGAATATGAGACCCCCCGCGGGTGCTGCGGCCACACCCATCTCCTAGTGGATGGCGGGGGGG